GGGCTCTCTCAGGTCTCAGCAGGAAGGTGCGGGCAGAGAGAGAAGGGCAGGTAGGAATCCAGAGAGCCGTCCTTCAATCAAACTGCGGTCTGATTGACAGCCTAAGCCCTCAACACCCTTACGCTGACACGAGATGGTGTCATGACCACAAGCACAGAAGAACTGCCCTTTTAGAGTTCCAAGACTCTAACTCTTTCCCGGAGCAAATAGCCCCATCTTTCTCCCGTGGGGTGGGTGGTGGGTTCGAACTACTGACCCTGGGGTTAGAAGTCCAACGGGTGACCCACTGCACCACCAGTTTCCTTTCCAGGAACACCCAAACCAAGCCCACCGCCATGGAGTCGAAGCTGACTCACAGCAACGCAGAGGACAGAGTAGACTTGCCTCTGTGGGTTTCCAAGACTGTCACTTTCCGGGAATAGAGAGCCTCGTCTTTCTCCTGAGGAGGGCCTGGTGGGTTTGAACTGCTGATCTGGCAGTAAGCAGCCCGCACATAGCCACTAGGCCTCCAGAGCAAAAGAGAGGGATGAAATTAACACCTCCCTCCTGCAGCCAACACCTTTCACTCCATCCTTGGGTTCCTCTGCCCCAGACAATCTGTATCCTGAGAATTACATCTGCAACTGCCCTCAACCAGAGCTTCTAAAGGTTCTGCCACGGCCTCGCGAGTGCCCGTGGCTGGTGGCGACCGGCTCTCCCCACCTGGGGTTTTCTGTTCACCTGTCTTGGGGGTGAGGTGAAGGCCTACAGAGGGGGTCATGGGCCTTACATCCAACACCTCGTCCCTCTCCGTCCTCTCCTCTTCGCACGGCCTGCCCGCGTCTCTGCGCTTCCTGTTCCCGCTCCTCCTCCTCTGCTGCCCTAGCCCCTGGACGGTGTGCGGCTTGGGCGACTGGCACACCATGCACCGCGACCTGACGAAGGGTGACGAAGGGTGACCAAGACGCTGGTGATTTGGGATTTGGAATCCGGTTCCACAGTTTTCTCCCACTCAGTCCAGGACTTTCCAGTGTGACCCTTTCCAGAGCAGGGGGTAGTGGAGGCCGGACGCCACCTAGCCCAACAGTTCTCGACTTTCCTGTCGCGACCCCTCTGGGGGTCAAACGACCCTTTCACAGGGGTCACCCGATTCATCACAGTAGCAAAACGACAGTGATGAAGTAGCAACAAAGCTAATTGTATGGGTGGGGGGCGGGGTCAGCACCACACGAGGAACTGTATGAAAGGGCCGTGGCATAAGGAAGGTTGAGAACCGATGGTCTAGCCCCTTCTGACCTCAGGGGTGTGGAGACCGAGGTTGGCATGTCCGTCCGCGGGCTGCTTCCATATGTCTTCCGAGACCCACAGTTGTGGGTGTCCACTAGCTTCCGCGTGCCGTTTTGGCCCAAGCTGGAAGAAAGCGGTCCTGCCCCACTCCAGGATGGCGGCTGGACACATGTCTTGAAGGTGCTGGCCACTGTCTTTGAGTGGGGCGTGCTGTCTGCTCCCTCCTTGGGCTTCCGACTCGTCCCAAGAGATTTGGTTGCTATGCACCACGTACGCTCCCTCGACCCAGCTGGAACCTTCTGGAACCAGTGGGAAGCTCTGCCTGGAACCCCAAACCCATGTGGGACACCAGCCCAGCAAGAGCCCGCCTCCTTTCAGGGTTCTGCCTGGGAAGGAGGGACATCTCAGAGGTCGCCCCTCCTCCATCAGGCAGGGCCCCTGCCGGGATCCCTCCCAGCAGAGTGGAGGAGGGGCCGGGCAGGGGCTGGAAAGGGGTGGGGGGTGGACTCTCCATATCCTAGGCCCCCTGGCCTTCTGGAAGGCCCTGACTTCCCAATGCCTGTGCAGGAGTTTTCCCGCTTCCACGAGGAGATCCTGCCCATGTTCGACAGGCTGCAGAACAACAGGAAGGAGTGGAAGGCCCTGGCCGACGAGTATGAGGCCCAGGTGAAGGCCTTGGAAGAGAAGAAGGAGGAGGAGACAGTGGCGCCCAAGAAAGGTGTGTGGGGTGGGGGTGGGGGCAGGAAGGTGTCCCTGGTCAAGGTGCATAGGTGGGGCCTTAGAAAGGACTCGGATGGGGCGTTCAGTCTGGGGACAAGACCAGAGGGATTCTTCCCACTGCCCTGGGGTTGGCAGGGCTGGGTCACTGCACCCACCGTCTATGGGCCCCTCCACGCCCAGGAAAGTGACCTCCCAAGCCAGGACTCCCCAGGGTGTCCTCTGGGTGCAGCCGAGGAACCCCCACCTCCTCAAGGAAGCCCCACCCGCGGGCCGGCTGCAGCCAGCACTTGCTTTGCTCCTCCATCAAACAGCTCTCCCCTAAGCACCTGGGAGCCGCCCTCGGCCTGGGAGACAGGAGCGGGGTCCAGAGAGGAGGGAGGGAGGGAGGAGGGGGACAGAGGGTAAGAAAATGAAGGTCCTGGTTCCCCAGTCCAAAGCCCCCAGACTCAAAGCCACCCTACAGGACAGGGCTGAACCGCCCCTGTGGGTTTCAGAGGTGTTAAATCTTTACTCAAGGAGCGCCTTGTGGTTTCTAACTGCTGGCCTTGCGGTGAGCAAAAGAGATAGGGAGACTTGGGGTGGGGGTGGGACAGGCTTTGATCTGTACTCTTGCTGACCCTCGCTAACAGTGGTGGTGGTGCCCCTGGGGTCTGGGGAGGGTCAGACCGGCTTTCTGTAAGTTGCCACGGCCCACCCACCACTTGCTGCCCCTTCTCCCTCTCACCCCACGACCTGTCATTTTCTTGCAGCGGGCTCCCAAGTCTGCAATGGCGGCCCGGCCTCCAAGTCTTCCACCTGCTGCATCCTGTGAGCCCTGTCACAAGGTCCCCACCACCGGCCTCCTCCGCCCAGCCTCGGACCACCCCATACCACACCGGTGGTGGCCACCGGCCACTAGGAGGCCTGAGAAAGGTCTCGAGACATTTGACAATGCCGAAATGTTCTACGACCGGTGTTTTTGTAAGCTCACCTACAACGGCCACAGAAGGAATCATTGACCTCATAGCGACCCTAGAAGACAGCTTAGAATCCCCCCATCCCAGGGGCGGATCTCGGAGGCTGTAGCTCCGGGCAGAAGCAGACCTACACATCTTATCCCCAGAGGGGCTGGTGGGTTCTGTTGGCAGCCCGGTGCTTAACTGCAGTGCCCCTAGGGCTCCTTTATAAATTAGAACAAAACCGTAAAGCACTGCCATCAACTTGATTCTGACCATAGCCGCCTGCACAGGCTGTATGTTTTTACGGGAGCAGCCAGCTCCTGGTTCTCCTTCGGAGCAGCTGGTGGGTTTGAACCACGGACCTTGTGGTCAGCCGTCCAGGGTTTACTTGGCTGTGCCACCAGAGCTCCTTATTCCGACTCCTAGGGACCCTCTAAGGCAGCAGTTCTTAGCCTGTAGGGCGTTACCCCTTTGGGTGTCGAATGACCCTTTCACAGGGGTTGCCCGATTCCTAGCAGTAACAAAATGAGTGATGAAGTAGCAACAAAAGTCATTTTTGGTTGGGGGTCACCACATGGGGAACTGTATGAAAGGGTCGCGGCATAAGGAAGGTCGGGAAGCACTTCCGTACGGTTTCCGAGGCTGTCCGTCTTCACAGGAGAGCCTCATCTTCCTGCCTCGGAGCAGCTGGTGGCTCTGAACCACCAGCCTCGCGGTTAGCGGCCCAGCACTTACTGACATCACCACCAGGGATCCTGATAAACGGAGGCCACCTACGTATCACGTCAAACAGAGCAGGTTAATGACACCATCGCGTTTGGGACACCTAGGGATGCCATCAGGTCTGGCCCGAGGGTCAGGGGAGCGTGTATGGGACTGGTCAGTGGATCCATTCACGCCGGCACATGTACATAATGTGTATACAGGTAGGTAGGTCAATGGACACTGAAGTGTCCACAGTGGCTCAGAAGAAAGCATGATGTCCAGACATTTAGAATAAAGAGGAGACAATGTGTCCATTCTTCTTATGTGGTGGAATTGACCTGTCTGAAAAAGGATGCGTAGGTGAAGGCCATGGCTCCCGCAGAGCAGAAAGGGGTCTGTGCGGAGCACACCGTGCAGGTCTGCCAGGGGGCAGTGCCGACCACACGGTGGTAGAAGTCGTGGGTTTCACACACACACACACCCATCAGTGGAGGTCTGTGTTGTGGGGCGTACTGACCCCGTGGCTGCAGCCCGGGGCTTCAGCAGCACAATTATTAAGGACAGCGCAGGACAGAAGTGGTGGTTCTCGCGTTGTACTCTGGGCCAGAACTGACTGAAGGACACCTGGCCAGGCCTCCTCAGAGCTTCTAGACTCCCAAAGCCAAGCTCACTGCCATTCAGTCAACTACTACTCACGGCAACCCTATAGGACAAATACTAACTGCCCACCCGAGCCGGCGGGTCAAGTCCAGACAGGGCTTCTGAGGCTGTCAGTCTCTGGTTGAACCACTCACCTGGGCTTCGATAGCCCGATACCTAACCCACAGCGCCACAGGGCCCTGTCCTGACGGAGACTAGTGGGGCTGAGACCACCAGAAACCCTCAGGTGCTCGCTGGGGGAGGGTGGGCGTTTCGTTCGGTTGTGCATGGAGTCGTGTGTGTGTGTGTGTGTGTGTGTGTGTGTGTGTGTGTGTGTGTGTGTGTTTTGGGGGGGTGGGAGTGGCAGCAAAGCTGGGCGACCCCTGAAGGGGAGACATGGCCATGCCCGGTCACCTGTCCTCAGGGCTTTCACGGCTGCAAGCACCAGCTTCCAGGGAGGAGTCAGGAAGTCAAGAAAGGGGTCCCTGGACCCCGTGGGACTGGCTGCTCAAGGTGTGGGACTAGAGGGCATTTGAGGGTTTCTGACTCATCAGTGGAGAGGCCACAGCAGAGGCTCCAAACTGCAAACCAGCTCCATCGGGGGTCCAGGCCGTGGTGTAGGAGGCCATGAGTCGGAGGCTCAGAAGCAAGCCCAAGGCCAGGCGACCAGGCGGGGACAGGGCTCTTTAGTTGGAAGCATTGGGGATGAGCCCCCAGTGGGAGCGACCCTCAAACACCCAGCAGAGAGGGTGTGCCAAGGCGAGCACCCTGGGAGGGCAGGGGTCCAGGACAGGGCCTGCCATACCCGGCCCCGTCCCAGGAGGTCCTGTGCAGCCTGAGCACCCCCGGGGGGTCCAGACAGACCCTCAGGAGCAGGCTTCCCTCTGAAAGGACCAGCCCTGCATTGCCTCTGACCCCAACCCTGAGGCTGACTTCCAGGCCCTGGGCTCTCTGGCTGAGTGACCCAATGGCTGGCTGGGACAGTTCCCCTGCCATCCAGGCCCTGCTGCAGCTGCCCCAGTCACCAGGCAGCAGGGAGGCCCCGGAGCAGAGAAAGGGCTAGGTGGAGTTAGGGTTCCACTCTGGGATGGTGAAATGTACCAGTCCAGGGACTCGGGTCTCATCCCCCCCAATCACAGTTATATTCACAGTTAAGGTGTTGCGTGACACTCCCCACCGCCGTGCCCCCTCCCCCCAACCAGTCATGCGGGTCCCTGGAATGAGAGCCAGAGAGGGTTGGTCCCACAACACAGGAGGCTTTATTTCTCCACCGCTGCTTCAGGACGCCGGGCACACGCAGCTCACTTCAAAATGCTGTCATCTTGGGCTGCAAGGAGAGAAGAAACGCACGTGACTGGACTCCCAACCGCTCGGGACCACTGCGTCTGAGACCCTCGATCTGAACCCCCGGGATGCCGCCTGTGAGGGGGCTGCGTGTCCCTCCCTCACTGCCAGGGAGGGATGCCGACACAGCCAGCGGCGCCTACAGGGGGCGGAGCTGACCCTGGGCGTGATGGGGCTGCTCTCCATCTTTAGGGGAGCTTCCTGAAAGCCTTCATTTGTCTCCCCGGAGTGGCTGGTGGGCCTGAACTGGGGGCCCTGGGGCTAGCAGCCCCATGCAAAACCCACGATGTCCCAGGGCTCCTTCAAAACGAATCCAGGCAGGCTGGGTGGGGGCGAAGCAGGGAGGCACAGAAAAGGACAGGGGGCAGGGGAAGGATGAACAGAGAACGGGGGCGGGGGCCTAACTGATTTCAATTTGCTGAGGTGGGCTGTGAAGAGAGGGAATGTTTCTTTAAAAACAAAACGTGAAGGCTCACAGCCTTCAAGAAAGCCCTCCACATCCCTCACCCCTCGGCCGAGCGTCTGAAAACAGAAGAGAAGTAAGACCGACGGGGGGCTGGGCGTCTTTAGTGACATGCAGCCTCACTTCAAACACACGAGGAGAAGACGGACCCGCGGCCGTCACAGCGACCCTGCACAGGGCAGCGTGGAACTGCCCCTTGGGGTCCCAAGACTTTAAAGTGTTATGGGAGTAGGCAGCCTCGGCTTTCTCCCCGAGCGGCTGCTGGGCTTGAACGGGGGACCTTGTGGTGAGTCGCTCAACTCGGGTTCCTTTCCTTACCCCACTGCTCTGGGAGCCCACCCGCCGCTGCCAAGCGTGAGGGAGAAGGGAGCCATGCAGCGGCTTCTCCAACACAGGGGTCCAGAGGGCCTAAGCCCCAAGGCTTGGGGATGGAGAACCTCACCAACACTCCCCGCCTCCTACCCCAGGGAGGGCAGGCGGATCCTGCTCTCCAGGTCAGGACGCGAGAAAGCGGGGCCCCTGCCCACCCGGGATCTCATGGGGACACCCCAATGTGGGGAACAGAAGGATTTCTCTTAAGTTGTCTCCCCAAAATATAAACCAGACTTAGCTTGAGAATAATTGTTCACTAGGCAGCGAAAATAGGTCAGAGGTTATTCTCCTTA